AGTGCTTCCCAGAGAGTAGCTGGTGGAGGTAACCTGGATGGAACAGCAGCTCCCCAAGCCTCCCAGCAGAGACAGACCCACTGAAGGATTTCTCGCAGTGTCTTATTCATGAGGTGTCTGGCTTTTCCCCCACTTTATAGAGATATCACAGGGTAGTGGAAAGAACGTTAGATTTAGAGTCAGAAGATTAATTGGCCAGCATTTATTAACCCCTTATGTGTCAGGCACTGTGCGAGGTGCTGGAAATAAGGTCTGGCTTGGAGCTCTAGCTCCAAAACTTATTCTCCATGTGACTGTGGACAAGTCATTTTGTCTCTTTGAGCCTCAGTTTCTTCTCAGCACTTCTTAAACTGTGGGTCGTGACAGTGTAAGAAGTGCTGAAAGGGTCACGAGTGGAAAAAGTCTAAGAAGCCCTGATTCATCTCATGATGTTTATGCTACCTTTCTTATAAAGGTGATAGGATGAAAGTACCTTGTGGCATTTAACGATGAGCTTTTATTCTTAGTAAGATTTGGAGCTGCGATACAGCAGCAAGCTGAAGGCCTGCTTTTGGTTCAGAAGTCTTTTCCCTGGTTCGTCTCCAGTGATTCTATCCCATGGCGGTGTTCTCATACTGCTTGCAGGGGACTCAAGCGTGTCTGGGGGATATAGAATATTTTGTTCTTTTAAAGAATGTTTTGTTCCATTAGAAGGAGGTAGAGGAAGTGTTTTCCCACACATGGGGTAGATCCTTTGTGGAGAGCCATGGACCAGAATGACATGGGATGAGAAGGCGTGGAGGGCCTGTGATCTGCATGACGCCAGAGGATTAGAAGGGGGGCTTGTTTCAAAGCTGCATAGCCAGCAGCTCCAGGGTTCCCGGTTGGTTGCCTTTAGGTTAAGTACAAACCCCTCGGTTTGGCCTTTAGAGCCCTTCGCAGTTCAGGCAGCCTACCTTTCCAGGCTGATGTTATATCATTATTCTTTCACACTCATGGCTTTCAGCTGGGCTCCTATCCCCATGTCTTTACCCAGGCGGCTCCCTGTGGCTGGGATGCTTTCCTGCCTCGCCTCTGCTGCCTCTTATCTGGGGCTTATTTCAGGTGCCACCTCTTTTAGGAACTCAGTTGTGTTTGTGAATGCCACACTCACCAATCAGTGTGTATACATTTATATTGAATTTGGTCTGTATTTACTAATCTGGGTACATGTTGTTGCTCCCCCCCCCCCCCCCCCCTATAGAATGTAAGCACTTTCAGGCAGGGGTAGCCTCACTTCTGTGTTCGTATTTCTAGTTGTCTCGTCCAGTGCCTGGCACATTTGTTATTTGGTCCGACTCTTTGTGACCCCTTGGACTATGTCCATGGGGTTTTCTTGGCTTAGTTATTGGAGTGCTTTGCCATTTCCTTCTCCAGTGGATCCCCATTGTACACATAAGGAACAAATAGGAGATAAGTGACTTGCCCAAGGTCACACAGCTAGTAAGCGTCTGAGCCCAGGTTTGATCTCAGATCTTCCTGACTCCAGGGCCAGTGCTCTATTCACTGCACCACTGCCACATCATAGATGCTTAATAATTGTTTCCTGACTGAGGGACTAGAGGTAGAGTTTTAAGCTTCTGTTCAGTGCAGTCCTGCAGGCCCACCTCTTCTTTGACATTAAAGAGACATTAAGTTCTTCCACATGGCAGAGGGCTGGAGACGAACCAGGGAAAGAGGTTGGCTGAAATACTGCCTGTCTGTTGGAACTCAAGGTACAGCATGGGACACTGTGAAAGAGAGATCTAGAGAGAAGCTTGAACTTTGTTCACTGCAAATTTTGATTTGGTCCAAACAAATATGAAGTCTGTTTTCAGATGGAATTATTGTTATGTTTGTGTCAAAAGTCATTCAAGTAGGAGAATACATCTTACTTTAAATTAGACACATAATTTAGTTTTAGGGCAAAATCAAATCAAATCTGGATTTATAATCATAAATGATATTCAAAATGGAAATTTTCCCAAGGGCCATTAGCTGCCAGCACCTCAAATTTTATGGCCCACTGTTTTCAGTTAGCTCTGTTCAAAGATTTATAGTGGCAGTCTTATATCCTCATCTCCCTCTTTCTGGGGTCCCATGAGGCTCTCTGAAAATTGTAAACATAATGATATTATGACTATAACCCCCACATAAAGATTGAGAACATACCCTTCTAATAGTCCTTCAAGGACAGAGTTTTTACTATGCTATATTCAAATCATTCTATGCTGCAAATTAATTGCTATAGTTTTCATTTGGTAAATGTTATAACTTGATAGAATGTTCTCAGTCTCAAATTACTACCAGGCATTTCTCCAAGAAATCTCTTACCTTTCTTATCTCAGTGAGATAAAAATAAAAAAATAACCTACTTAGTCCTCACTTTCCAAAACTCCAAACCCTTGACTTTCAAATCCTCCATTCATAGTGCAAATGGTGGCCAGCTTTCTTTCACTCTCCACCTATTGTCCTTTAATCTCTACTTGCTCAAACCTTTCTTCTCTTCCAGTGGACTTTGACTAAAGCCTTGCAGACTTCTACCCCTTTCTTGCTACCCTCTGCTTCAACCCTTCATCTGAACTGGGACTCCCTTTCCTTAGCTCTGTCTCATCCAAATCTGACGCTCCACTACTTCTTTCCTTTATCAGTTTCCTTACTGTTTACATTTCAAGTTGAGTAGTCCAGTTCAGTTTATTTTCTCTACTTTGCCTCTAATTTAAGTTCTGCTAACAGTTCACGGAAGAAAATACAGACGTACACCATCACTTGATGAAGCCCACAGGCTGCAGGCTGTAAACCATTTTTTCCTAGCATTCTCCAGTGGTGAAATCACCTACTAAAAGAGTGAGTCTATCATCTCCAAGGGAAAGAGTGATTGAAAAAAGAAATCTTCACTGTTACTTGCATGAATCTTGGCTTTAGGAAGCTACAGACCAAATATCCACTAAGATATTCCGGCGTTTACAAAAACACTCAAACTGTAATTTAGAAGTTGACAGTAAAGGGATGACCTTTCAGTTACAGATGTCGTCCTCAATTACTTTACAGTGCCATAAATTCTCCTTTTCTCTTGATTGTCCTCATCTCCACCCCTCCATCTGACCAGGGTTAAGGCTGAGAAGAGATCTTGCCGTTTCTCCTTATCTCCCACTGAAAGGCTAGTCATTGGTAATAATTACCTGCATATTGAAAAGGAGAGTTGAGCATCAGAACTGAAAGGTAGCCCAGACATCAGGGAGAGCTGTTCTAAGGTGTAAAAATGTATTATAATTAACTTCAACTCAGGCAAGATCTTCATTTTAAGAATTGCCATCCCCTGGGGTACAGGCGGGTACCATGTGAGTGGCAGGAGGATAGTCTTCCCCACTATTCTAAGCTCCCTTTGCTTGTTCCAGTTCATTACTCTCTATTTCCCTTTTCCTGGGAAAACTTAGGGAGGTGTTTTATGCTGAGAGTGGGGTCAGGACCCTCACTCCTCACTTGCGCAAGAAGGTGGGCCTTTCAGATTATCAAAGTCCATAGACACGTGTATAGGGATGGGTGTCAGAGCCAATTGTTGGGCGGCCTGTTTTTCAAATTTAGGGCAGAATTTTTTATTCTAAGTTCTGCCCAAATGTGCCTGTAAGCCATTTGGAAACGGTATTGATTTTCTATCACCAATCTAAATCCAAGTATGGTGTTAAAATCAAAGAATATTTCTGGGGGTTGGGTAAGGATATTTATCCCCTGAAGTAATCCTATCCAAACATCTTCACGGAGGTTTTTAAACTGGATTTTAGATAATTTGGATTCCTTGAAAGGAATCTTTTCCCCAATTAACCAGGAGACAATTCGTAGGAATGTCTTTAGAAGAAATGGAATGACTAGATGCCATACTTTGTGGAATAAACATTTTTACCAATTTACTGAACCCTTCGAAATAAATTGTCAGTCCAACGTTTTGTTATTGGTGGCGGGAACAGCGTTGTTAAATGGATAACTGAGACAGTAAACAGAAAGAATGAACTCAGATGATTTCTGACCTGTGCTCAATATGACATTGAAATAGATGCCAAACATGCATCTTACCAGGATCATTTAGCCTGTGACCCTACCGTCGTTGGATCAGAACCAGAACCAGGCTAGAAGGGGGATCTCTGACTGACCCACTGCAGTGTTTTATACCAGACCATAGTCACTGAACTAGCAATCACAGCCACAGCACTGGACCCTATCCTGGCCAAACCAGAGACAGTGGCCACAGCACATAGACAAGTGTCTTGCTTGTGTACCTACATAAAAATGAAGTTGGTTTGTTTTTTTGTTGTTTTGTTTTAAAGGAGTTTGTTTTTGCCACAAAGTATTAAGGCAAACAGGGCACAAAGTTTGGAGGGGAATGTCTTGTCCTGTCTGTTAAAACCCAGAGTTTCTCAGTCCAGCCAGCCCTTGCTTTAGACACCTGAATCACATTGCTCATCAGAATATCTGGGTGCCTACCAAACTAAGTGTAAGTAGACTGGTTATTCAAATGCAAAAGACAAAAAACAAAATACAGAAGAATACATAGAAATACACAGGACACAAATAGAAGACAGATTTGTCTCCCTTTCTGGGAATTTTTTTGAGGGTGGAGAGGTAGTGGTCTTTATGGCCTGGCTGAGTTTTTCCTCTTCAAAATTCTCCAAGTAAACATACCTTTGTGTGCCCCAGAGGACTTCTGAAGTGAAAGCCCCAGGCTTTCCAACCTTACAGCCTATTTCATCTGGATCACCACATTTGTTATGAGAGAAATCTCTCTTCTCTGAGTTCACGTGGTCGGTAACTGCTGTCAAATATGTATTCATCACAACACAGAAACGTGGAGGTAAAAACCTAGGTTTTAGTATTAGGCTCGAGCATAGGTTCAGGCCCCAGAGAAGCCCTGAACCCCTGTTAGGAGTCTCACGAGCCCTCTTCTAGGCAAAGTGACATCAGAGTGACAGAGAAGGCGTTCATTTACATGTTGTGATCTTGTACCTTCCCCTCAGGCCATGAAAGTTAAAGAGAAGATGGATCCATAATCCCCTGCTTCTTCAGTGGCAGTGGAACAAACCTAGGTAAACAGAGTCATAACCTCATATATCCCCTAAGTCGGGGTGGGGAACCTGCAGCCTCGAGGCCAGATGTGACCGTTTAGGTCTTCAAGTGCAGCCCTTTGACTGAATCCAAATTTCACAGAACAAATCCCCTTAATAAAAAATCAAATGTTCTGTAAAATACTACCTCTGAGACATTTCTTTCATCTGTCTGTTTCTATTCCTACTGCCTCCGACCCCCACCAGGCACTTATTACCATCTACCGAGACTATCAGAATGGCCTCTTCCTCAGCCCTACCCCCTAATTCTTCTGATGACATTCTTCTTTTAAAAAATGTCTTCTGTGGTTTTGTGTTGCCTCGTGATTAGAGGCACTCTCTGCCTGGCATTCTAAGACCCTCTGTAGTCTATGCCAGTCTACCTTGCTGGCTTTATCTTCTACAGCTGCTGGCCTACTTTGTACCCGGTGAATGTGTTTGACATCACTGAGCTCTTTTACCTTTGTTCATGCTGTTCCTTGTACTTGAAATGCTCCCTTGATTCCTTGTTGTTGTTCAGTTGTGTCCGACTCTTTGTGACCTCATGGACCACAGCACACCCATCCCTTCTCCGCCCCCCCCAATCTCTTGAAGTCTGTCCAAGCTCATATTTGTCGCTTCCATGACACCATCTATCCCTCTCATCCTCTGCCATCCCCTTCTCCTTTTGCCTTCAATCTTTTCCAACGTCAGGGTCTTCTCCAACGAGTCCTGCCTTTTCATTATGTGGCCAAAGTATTTCAGCCTCAGTGTTTGTCCTTACAATGAATAGTCTGAATTAATTTCTTTTAAGCATTGACTGATTTGATCTCGTTGCAGTCCAAGGGACTCTCAAAAGTCTTCTCCAGCATCACAGTTTGGAAGCATCGATTCTGCTATGCTCAGCTTTCCTTATAGTCCAACTCTCACAGCCATACATTGCTACTGGAAAAACTCATAGTTTGGACTATGTAGACCTTTGTTGGCAAGGTGATGTCTCTGCTTTTTAGTCTGCTGTCCAGATTTGCCAAAGCTTTTCTTCCAAGGAGCAAACGTCTTTTAATTTCATGGCTGCAGTCATCATCTGCAGTGATCTTTGAGCCCAAGAATGTAAAATCTGACACTTCTTCCCTTTCTTTTCCCTCTGTTTGCCAGGAAATGATGGGACCAGTTGCCAAAATCTTGGTCTTTTTTTTTTTTTTTTAATGTTAAGCTTCAAGCCAGCTTTTGCACTCTCCTCTTTCACCCTCTTCACTTTCTGCCATCAGAGTGGCATCATCTACGTATCTGAGATTGTTGATATTTCTCCCAGCAACCTTGATTCCAGCTTTTGATTTGTCCAGCCTGGCATTTTGCCTGATGTCCTCTGCATATAAGTTAAATAAGGTGTCAGTATACATCCTTGTACTCTTTTTCCAAACTTAAACCGATCAGTTGTTCCGTGTTCGGTTCTGTTACTTCTTGACCCACATACAGGTTCCTCAGGAGACAAGATGATCTGGTCCTCCCATCTCTTTGAGGACTTGCCACATTTTGTTCTGATCCACATAGTCAAAGGCTTTAGTGCAGTCAATGAAGCAGAAGCAGATGTTTTTCTGGAACTCCCTTGCTCTCTCCATAATCAGCGAATGTTGGCAATTTGGTCTCTAGTTCCTCTGCCTCTTCACAAACCAGCCTGCTCCGCTGGTAGCTCTTGGTTCTCATGTTGCTGAAGCCTAGCTTGCAGAATCTTAAGCTTAACCTTGCTGGCAGGTGAAATGAGTGGAATTGGGGCAGCAAGGTGGTGCAGTGGATAGAGCACCAGCCCATGTTTCATTTGAGATGCCTGTGTTCAAATCTGACCTCAGACACATAACACTCACTGGCTGTGTGACCCTGGGCAAGTCACTTAACCCCGATTGCCTCACCAAAAAAAAAAAAAAGGAAAGAAAGAAAAAGAGTAGAATTGTTCAGTAATTTCAACATTCCTTGGCGTTGCCCTTCTTTGGGATTGGAATGTCAACGGATCTTTTCCATTCCAGTGGCCGCTGCTGAGTTTTCCGATTGCGGCATATTAAGTGCGGCACTTTAACAGCACTATCTCAGAGGGTTTTAAATAGCTCAGCTGGATTCCATCACCACCAGCAGCCACATTGTTAGCAGTGCTTCCTGAGGCCCACCTGACGTCATTCTCTGGGATGTCTGGCTCTTGATCAGTAACTGCATCATCACGGTTGTCAGTGATGTTAAAATTATTCTTGTCTCGTTCTTTTGTGTATTCTTGCCACCTCTTCCTAATCTCTTCTACTTCTGTTAAGTCCTTACCATTTTTGTCTTTTCTCACGCCCATTTTTGTGTGAAACTTTTCCTCGATAACTCTTATTTTCTAAAAGAGATCTTATCTTTCCCACTTTGTTGTTTTCTATTTTTTATATTACTCATTTAATAAAACCCTCTTTTCTCTTCCTGCTATTCCCTAGAATTCTGCATTCACTTGGGTGTATCTTTCCATTTCTCCTTTCCCTTTTGGTTTCCTTCTTTCTTCAGCTATTTGTAAAGCCTCGTCATCCACCATTTAGCTTTTTTGCTCTTCTTTTTCTCTGGGATGTTTTTTTGTTGCTGCCTCCTCTGTAATATTGAGAACATCTGTACATAGTTCTTCAGGCACTCTATTCTGCCCATCCTTTAATGGATCTTACTTTAGTGCCGTCTTCTCTGGGAAGATTTCCCAGATTCCCTGAGTCTATAAACAGCCATCTTTCCTTTGGACCTCATATGATGCTACGTTTTCTAAGTCTCTAAAGCACTGAGATAATGTATCCTTTTGGCTCTCTTCTCCCCTAAGGTGAACTAGGGCCTTATCTAAACTTGGTATCTCTGCCCTCCATTGTCTGGTATAGACGGCTTCCCAAGGCAGGTGTTTAATGAATGTCTGTTGGGTTGGTTTCACTTCTAGTCTAGTCCTAAGCTGTTTCAAGGTGAGAGTTTTTGAGAAGGTGAATGATGTGATCAGAGGCCTCACTTCATAAAGTGACCTGCAAGATGGATTGGGGGAGATACAGAGGAGTCCTTCTAATAGTCCAATAGGAGTAGGCTGGCAGCCGCAGAATAGTCAATGGGATACATGTGGGTGGGAAGAGAGTAAAAAATGACCACAATGTGACTGATTCTGAGAGATCTGTCAACAGATATAAAGTGGTTAGGAATATGATCAAATTTTAAAGGAAATGCAAATGTGAGCTTAAACATTGAGCTTCGAGTGTTGGGTCCTAGGGTTGGAGCTGATATGATCTAGAGCTGGAAGGACATCTAGAGGTCATTTTGTCTAGCTCGCTCATTTTATAGGTGAGCACGTAGCAGGCCTGTAAGGCCAGGGACTGACCTGGTCAGGCCGCAGAGCTGGGATCTAAATGCAGGCAGATCCCCTGCCTCCAAGGCCTTGGCTCCTTCCCCTCCCCGTGCACCTCTCAGGGATATCTAGGAAGCAGTTGGAAATATGATCATAAAATTTGGGGGAGAGGTCAGGAATCCAGATAAAGAGTTGGGAATCATCTGCTTAGAGGTGATAGTTTAAACTATGGGAGGAAAGAGCATTAGGGAGCACTCATTACTAAGAGGGAAGAAGTAGAAACAGAGAGTGTAGACCCCTCATCTTGTAAGAAATTTGAGGATATTTATTTCATTATCCCTTCAGACAGTGCCTTGGGCCTTTCCCATGAGACCTTGGGCTCTCTTCTCTCATTTTCTCAGGCAGCTATTTTGCTGATGGAAGTTCTTTACCTAAATGTGGCTTCACGTCCACTGAAGTAGTAGTCCTGAGGTAGTTTGATTTTGAGTCTCATTACTAAATTCTAATTGGGTAAAGTGTATCATTGTGGTCTAAGATGAATTCCCTTTTATCACTATACAAACAGGTTGGCAGTCTGTTTTCTGGTTTACCACCAGACAGGTCTGCTCAGCTAAGCTGCCTGCCACACATGTGGTTCCAGATGTGCTCGGCTGTCCCGAGCCTGGGGGAGTGGCTGCCAGGGTGATGGGACGGGAGGGGGTGGAAGGAAATGGCCAAGGTAGAAGCTGTTGCACAATCCCCTTGACTCAGAAAGCGTCTTCTTCCTGCCTCTGACTAAGGGTGTGATGAGGAGAAAGGAGTTCCCCTCCAGCCAAAGGGAACTTGGACTTTGAAACAAAATTCCCCTCCTGCTTGTCATTTCATATTAAGACGGGATAGATTGTATTAAATGTACTTAGTTATACTTAAAACTTTGAGAAACATCATGTCTGAAAAGCCTGTCACTTGTCCTTAGCTGTTTTCCTTAAATGGGCAGTGATTCTTCATGAGGGCTTAGATAGGATTTTTTAATAAAAGCATTTTAAGTGTCCAGTTCAGGTAAAAAGCCTTCTGTGGGGCCTCGGCCTGATAATGTTGACAATGGGCCCAGCAGGGCCAGGGCTGCAGCCTTGGCTTCCTGCTGCGGTCTCCTTTCCTCTGTGCCCGTGCCTACTCTGTGTACCAAAGGGGCTTGACCTTCTGGGGATGGCTCCTCAGTACTATCCAGGTGGCCAGCCTCAATATACATAGAAATGGGCCCACGCTGATTTTAGCCAGAGGAAATGAGTGTTAACTCTGCCCATTCCCTTGGTTGAAATTTGCCTTTCCATGTGCACCTGACAGCTCTTCAGAGCTCTGTGTCAACACATGGGTAGAAGCTAGAGTTTCTACCAGGTATGCTGTGCTTATATGGCAGATAGGGCTTCAGTCGTTCCTGGGCAGCTCTCTCTGTTCCTGTTGGGAGAGATTGCTTTGGGTATTGTTGCTTGAAGTAGATACTTTATAGAGGGCACATTTGGCAGAAAGATATTAAGAGGAAGGGAGCCCCTGACGGGAGGATCCTCGTGGCTAATGGTGGTGGGAGGCAGTGGTACAGACCTTTGTGTTTCCCAGGCAGGCTTTCTGTAATGTCTTCTTCATGACAGCCACAAGCCCATCCTCCTTCCAGGAGTTCTTACATGGTAGTTGGTGTGGGTCTCCTGAGGCTGCATTATGCTTACAGGAATTTTACCACTGGGGCTGTCCTCGGGCTCCTGGTAAATGAGGCTCACCGCTCCCGCCATTACAGGAAACCTGTCAATCTTTTATGGTTGACCTGAAGGTAATTCACCTTGCTTCTGTTCCTTTCTTTGTTCCAGGGTAAAGGTAGCAGTAATGCTCACATTGGCGAGCAAATTGAAGAGGGATGAGGGCGTTAAAGGATCCCGTCCATCTAGCGCAGCCTCGGACTCCACACGGAGAGTGTCTGTGAGGGACAAACTGCTTGTTAAAGGTAATCAGTCAAAACACACTTTGGCTCGTTGAAGGAAGTCAGACCAGCCTGTGGCTGAACGAAGGGGCTTGTTTGAGAGCGTGAGTTCAAAGCCTCCCCACTTCCTAGTCCGGGCTCTGCAGGCAGCAGGGACCTTGGAGATCACCCCGAAGCGCTGCCTGCGTCAGAGGAGGGAGCAGGCATGATGCCCTGGCACTGATTGCCAAGAAAAGGCTGCCCTATGTTAAATGTCCTAGTCAGCCGTTAAAGCTGGGAGGGGCCTGAGCCCATCAAGTCCAACCCCCTCATTTTACAGATGAGGAAAACTGAGACCTAGAAAGGGCAGAGACTTGCCTAAGGCCATGCCAGCTGGTAAGCAGCGGATCCAGATTTGAAGCCAGGCCTTGTGATTCTAGATCTAGGGTTCCTTCCACTGCCACACAGCTCCCACCTAAGGTTTGCAGAGGGGTGCCGTGTGGGGTGTAGTAGGAAAAGTGTGAGACTTATCCATTGCCCTTTCTCTTTGCCCCCACAGCCACTGCCTGGCCCGGGCCTTGCCTGCTTCTCAGCTGGATGCTCGCAGGAGCCGCCCAACTCCAGCTGCCCAGCTGCCTTTTCTAAATGACAGGTCTGGGGGCAGCTAGGTGGCACAGTGGATACAGCACCGGCCCTGAAGTCAGCAGGACCTGAGTTCAAATCCGGCCTCAGACCAAACACTTGGCACTTACTAGCTGTGTGACCCTGGGCAAATCACTTAACCCCAGTTGCCTTTAAAAAATAAATAAATAAATAAATAAATAAATGATAAATGACAGGTCTGCGCCTGTCACCCCCTGCTCGATGAGCTCCAGAGGCTCCCTGCTCCCTCCAGAGCCACATAGAACCCCGAGCTCTTCATCATGTCCACGTCCACGTGGTCTCTTCTGTTAGAGGCAAGGACTCACTCTTTTTGTTTTGTTTAACCTTCCTTGTATCCCCAGTGCTTAGCAGAGTACCTGGCATGTGGTAAGTGCTTAATAAATGTTTGTTGCCTGAGTCAAGAGACCTGGGTTCTAATCCTACCTCCTTCCCTAACTTCCTGCATGATATTGGGCGGAACACTTTGTCTCTTGGGTCTGATCAGAAAATGAAGGGATTGGACACTTGAACCCTGAGGGCCATTCAAGCTCTGAGGTTCAAACTCGGGAACATCTCAAACAAAGTAAGATTTTCTTGGAAGGTTAACATGAAGAGTCACCTAAAACTACTGTTGTTCTTGTGTTAATGGACAGTATTCATGGTGGAACTCATCCAGAACGTCAGTCCTAGACCCTTTCCGTTTGGAAGAGGTTGCATATTTTCAGCATTCATTCAGCCGACTTCCTGGAGCACCAAGGCCTGTTTAGAGCCCGTGGGACACAAAGATATGAGAGGAACCCTGCCCCCTGAGAGCTTGTAACTGGCAGTAGTTTTACCTTTGTGTTTCATATTTTGCTTTGATTAAAAAAGTATGTTTGCATTTGCTGAACCCGGCCGCGTGGGAAGTAAGGCGCGTGCTTGGCCTTTGGGAGAAACCGCTTTGAAACAGATGTGAAACAGCTTTTGTCCACAGACTCAAGATATTTGGGTTCCTAGTGCTATGATCACCGAGAGCACAGCAGCTCAGGCGCCGGTCTCTGGGCAGTGGGGAGTCTCTGGAGGCCCTGGGCCCCTCCCCCTGTGAGGTCTTCAAGCACTGGCTGGGTGATGAGCTCCTGAGGGTTTTGCAGAGAGGATCCAGGTTGGGCGTAGTGCCTTCCAGCTCTGGGATCCTCTGAATGTCCCTCTACAATTTCCAGCTTCAGTTACTGGAAAGCCAGTGGACTAAACCTAGCTGCTTTTACTATAGCTAAGTCTCTTAGATGTTGTGAAACCTGAACTCTAGAATGGTGTTTGGAGCTGGCATCCTTCAGTACAATGACAGAGAATTTAGTACCAGGTTTATGCAGGTAGACCGGGCAATGGAAAGCAGCCCCTGGGAGCACTTGTCCTTCATGGAGCCTCTCCATCATGGTACTCCAGGAGAGGAAGCGTTTAGTGATTGCGATGCTGGGAGAGTGCTCATAGCTTCCTTGATGCACACAAAGTTAAGAGTTTGTCCCTAGACATTCTTTGCGTTGATTTGACTGTAACTCCAGATGGAAGAGGTGGGGAGGCCTCTCTGCAACGAGAGTCAAGGTTTGACAAGATGTAGGCGAGGAGGAGTCTGGCATGTGTATTTGAGGTCCTTGCTGGATGACCCAGGAGCAGAAGGATCTGATTGATCTGTTCATTTTGGCATAGATTTCCAAATTGACACACATTTCTCACATGCGATTACAGGTCCCGAGGACTATCTGATGAGAGGAGAAAAAATGCATTATTTCTGAGTGTTGGGTGCGATTTCTCCCTTGTAAGAATGGAGATGGCTAGTTGAGCTCTGGGTAGTACATCTAGTGGTCCTTTTCCTTCCCTGTTCCTTCTCTGCCCCTCTCTCTTTTTTTTTTTTTTTTGGCAATTGGGGTTAAGTGACTTGGGTCACACAGCTACTAAGCGTCAAGTGTTTGGTCTGAGGCCGGATTTGAGCTCAGGTCCTCCTGACTTCAGGGCCAGTGCTCAATTCACTGCACCACCTGGCTGCCCCACTGCCCCTCTCTTTCAGCCTTAATTGGGGCAGCAGGTCTAGTGGACAGAGCACCTTGGAGAGACCTTGGCTCTGTATCCACCTCAGCCATTTGCTGGCCATTGGCCATTGAGCAAAATGGGAATAAAAATGCCCAGAGTGTCTGCTCCCAATGACAGACGGTTGTTGGGACCAAAGGAAATCCTGGGTTTTGTAAAGAATGGTGCGTCTCTACAAGCATCATTGGCTGTCAGCAGCTCTGATGAGCACCTTCTCATTTTCTCTGTGGAGTTAAATGGAAATAGTTCTGAGAGAAGTCACTATCCTGCTGTTTTGTTTTTGTTTTTGTTTTTGTTTTTAAGTTAATATTCCCTGGATTACTGCATAGGTGGACAAAGCAAGTATTCTTCATAATTGAATAAAAGTATTGAGGTATAAGCTTATCTTCTGAAGGCTTCCTTGAAGTCATCTTCAGGACAGCTCCCGTAACAGGCAGCGTGACTGGGGGAGGGGTTCTCATTTCTTTCACTAGGTCTCTGTAGCTAGGTCTCTAGCAACTTTTCACGTAGCTTAGAGATTGAGTATTTCATATGGTAACATCCATTTTAAAATGTTGTTGTTTTGTTTTTCTGGATCAGTGTTGTATCTGCACAGTTGTGAGCAATAGTTTAGTCCGTGGTAATGCTCTGGTTCTGGTACACTTTATTTGTTGAATTTTTATTTTTTTATAAATGTATCCACTTTTATTTCATAATTTACATGTCTCTCACCATGTATAAAACAGATATCAGATATCATTAGAAAGGGCCCCATTCCCCCGAAAGTGCATAATTCTAGAATGTTTCTTCCTTTCCAAGAAAATGAATTCTGGAATATTCCTGACTATTAGCAAAATGTAAAACTTTGCAATCTGGAAATATCCAGTCTCTAGGTCAGGTGTGAAGGCAGAACTTGTCTCATAGGAACCATTCTATACATTCCTTTATAGTTTTTTGGTTTTTTTCTTCCATACACTTGACCCGACTTTTGTCTTTATAGAGGCCAGTGTGTATTTTTGTCACTGACCCAGAGAAAAATGAACTTTTCTCTCATTTGTAACAGGTAGCTCACCAAAAACAAATCGTATACTTAAGCTTCTAACCACCAAAATCATGTTTTTTTTTGTTTTGTTTTGATTCTTTCAGTCTAGCAAGATTTCCAAGACTTACTCAGTTTTGCGGTTAATTCTGTTTTGCCATATCCTATCCCTAAAATGATTCTTCAGTCCCTTTCTCTGGGTTTACAAATCTATAATGCTATTTCCCTGGAAGTTTTTCTCCTGTCCTTTCTCTTTTCTTCCCATCACAGACATCAGAGAGCCCTCCTTGTTTTTTGGTGGATTTTTTTTTCTTTTTAATTAATTAATTAATTAATTAATTAATCTTTTAGTTTTCAGCATTCACTTCCACAAGATTTTGAGTTCCAAATTCTCTCCTTTCCTCCCTCCCAACCCACCCTCACTGAGAAGGCAAGCAGTTCGATATAGGTTATACATGTGTAGTCAGGCAAAACACTTCTGTAATAGTCATGTTGTGAAAGACTAACTATATTTCCCTCCATCTTATCCCACCCCCTGTTTATTCTGTTCTCTCCTTTGACCCTGTCCCTCCTCAAAAGTGTTTGCTTCTGATTACCTCCTCCCCCAATCTGCCCTCTCTTCTGTCATTCCCCCCCCCCTTATCTCCTTTCACCCTATTTTCCTGTAGGGTAAGATAGATTTCCAAACCCAATTGAGTGTGTATGTTATTTCCTCCTTAAGCCAAATCTGATGAGAGTAAGATTCATTCCCTTTCACCTCCACCCTCTTCCCCTCCACTGTAAAAGCTTTTTCTTGCCTCTTTTATGTGAGATAATTTACCCCATTCTACCTTTCCCTTTGTCCTTCTCCCAGTACAATCCTCTCTCACTCCTTAATTTTACTTTTTAGATATAATTCCTTCATATTCAACTAACCCTGTGCCCTCTATCAATATATAAATATTCCCTCCAACTACCCTAATACTGAGAAAGGTCTCATGAGTTACAAATGTCATCTTTCCAGGTAGGAATGTAAACAGTTCAACTTTAATATGTCTCTTATGATTTCTCTTTCCTGTTTACCTTTTCATGTTTCTTTGAGTTTTTTATTTGAAAGTCAGATTTTCTATTCAGCTCTGGTCTTTTCATCACGAATACTAGAAGTCCTCTATTTCATTGAATGTCCATTTTTTTCCTCTGAAGAATTGTACTCAGTTTTTCTGGGTAGGTGATTCTTGGTTTTAATCCTAGTTCCTTTGACCTCCAGAATATCATATTCCAAGCCCTCCAATCCCTTAATATAAAAGCTGCTAAATCTTGTGTTATCCTGATTCCACAGTACTTG